CCCCAAATCAATATTTAGGATTTTCTTCCAATAGTTTGTGCATCATGAACAGTGAGTGATCTGCCTGCTACAGTATTTTTCTCTGTGCGTCCGTCTTCAGCGTCTCTGGCCTCTGTTAATGGGCGTTTACAGACTTAATATTTTCACATAAATTACATTTGGAAAATAATATGCATTGCAACGCAGATTGTGCAAGTCCAGAACAGAGATCAGCTGCAATAAAACAATAAATGGCCGGTTGCCGATCACGTAAGTTTCAGAGGAAGCTCCTTCGGCCATCATACACACACGTGACTGACCGCTCGTTTTTGTTTTTGTCCATATGCATATCTGTTATCATGCAAACTATGAGTCAAGCATTTGACCCATATTCTAATTAGTATATATTTTCCAGGTTTAAGAATAATAGTTAAGATACCAAAACTATGAAACACAAATTGCAGTGGGAATAATGTAATGACCAAAAGATAGTTTGTTGAAATTGGGTTAGCTCACCCAAACATGAAAATTCTGTCATTAATTACTTGCCCTCATGTCATTCCAAACCTGTAAGACCTTAGTTCATCTTCAGAAATGTAGTAAGGACATCCTTAAAATAGTCCATGTGACATCCGTGGTTCAACCGTAATTTTATGAAGCTACGAGAATACTTTTTGTGTGCAAAGAAAACAAAAATAACGACTTTTTCGACAATTTCTTCTCTTCCTGGTCAGACTTTGATGAAGAAATTGTTGAATGAAGTTGTTAGTTTTGTTTTATTTGCGTGTCAGTTGCATTGCTGTCTATGCAGGGTCAGAAAGCTCTCGGATTTCATCAAAAATATCTTAATTTGTGTTCAGAAGATGAACAAAGGTCTTACAGGTTTGAAACGACATGAGGGTGAGTAATTAATGACAGAATTTTCATTTTGGGGTGAACTAACCCTTTAACAAAAAATCAAAAATGCCTTATTTCTTTTAGCCTCAATAACAATTCTGCACACCTTGGACTTCTCTTCAACTTTGTGAGGTGCATCCTTGGAGGTTTTTAAGATTTCATGTATGCTGGGCACTTAATTAAATATATGGATAAATTTTAGTGTTGTTAGGACATTGAAATGTATGGAAAAAAAACAGGATCATGCTAAACATCAATTCAGTGAATCTCATGACTGGTAGTTTGAATGTTTGCATGTTTCTGTAAATGTGAGAAACTTCGTTAAGGTTTTGCATTCCTTTCACTGTGTCTTTCTATCTGTATTTCTCTAGAATCAGGCTGAGGCTCATTATAAAGGCCATAAACATGCTCGTAAGCTGAAGGCATTAGAGGCTCAGAAGAACAAACAGCAGAGACGACAACTCGACAATGCGCATCACAACCGAGACAGAGAGAAGGACCGAGACAGGGACAGGCAGAGAGACAGCAGCAGAGTGAAAACGAGCGCTCCGGATCCACTTCCTGCCCTGCTGGATGACACCGCCATGGAGGAAAGTAAGTGAACTCACAGACGATTCGCTGCGTGAGTGGGCGTTTTTGTTACTGCTTGAAACATGCCCTGATGTGATTACAATTTGTTACAGACAACATAAAGCACATTTGCAACATATTTAAAGGGGGGGTGCAATGCTGTTTCATGCATTCAGAGTTGTTTACACTGTTAAAGAGTTGGATTCTCATGCTAAGCATGGACAAAGTTTCAAAAAACAATTTGGACGTATGACAGAGTATTTCCGTGCCAAAAATCTTACCCAGCGTTATGTAGACAGTGGATACAGTTTGTTTTTCCGGGGCAGCAGGAGTTTCACAAGTGTGTTTGTTGACGAACATTTTATAAACAAGGCCCAGTTCGACGCTGGATTTGCACATCGTTTGATATTGAAAGATGGAGCGGTCCCAGCTATAAAAGATCCCGGTCATGATTCAGAACTCTCGCTCTTTAGCTCCGCCCACGGCGCGCCTCCAGGAGCTCGGATTTTTCCGGAGAGAATCGTAAAGCTGTATCTTTCTTTTATAAATATGATAAAACTAAAGACTTTTTGGAGATATGAAGGATGCAGTACTACTCTATAGGTACTCAAGATTAACATGAGATTGGGTGAAACTGTGTGTGTTATGCCCCCTTTAACTTCTGTAATCTGACATCTCTCAGAGAGTGTCAAGAATGTTCAGCTCATTGTAACATGGGACAATGATAGACTCTTGTGTCTGCGCGTCACCCAAATTTTATAATGGCTATGAGCATGCAGGCATCATTTATATATATATATATATATATATCACCAAGGCTGCATTTATTTTATTAAAAATACAGTAAAACGGTAGTATTGTGAAATATTATCACAATTTAAAAAAAAAAAGATAATTATATTTAAAAAAATCTAATTACAAATTTGAAAAATTAATTTGTTCCTATGATGGTAAAGATGCAGCCATTACTTCAGTCTTCAGTGTCACATGATCCTTCAGAAATCATTCTAATATGATGATTTGGTGCTCGATTATTAGTGATGGTTCTTCTTATTTTTTTGTATTTTTGTGGAAATCATAATACATTTTTTCAGGATTCCTTGATGAATGGAAAGTTCAAAAGAACAGCATTTATTTGAAATAGAAATCTGGGTAACACTTTAGTTTTGGGACCAAGTTGCTTATTAACATGCACATTTATTTGCATATTGGCTGTTTATTAGTACTCATAAAGCACTTATTCTGCATGACCATGTTTTAGATCTCTTAATCCTACCTAATACCTAAACTTAACAACTACCTTACTAACTATTAATAAGTTTATTGGGGCAAAAGTCATTTGGTAATAGTTAATAGTGATAATTGGTCCCCAAACTAAAGAGTGACCGAAATCTTTTGTAGCATTACACATTAAACATTAATTATTTGACTGTCACTTTTGATCTGTTTAATATGCCCATGCTAAATAAATGTCTTAATTTTTTTTTCTTTTTCTTTTTTTTTTTTTATCATACTTACCCCAAACTTTTGAATGGTTGTGTATTATGCTTTCCCCAAACATTATAAGCAGCAAAAACTGTTTGCAACATTGATCATAATTAGAAATGTTTCTTGAGCAGCAAATCAGCACATTAGAATGATTTCTGAAGGATCATGTGACACTGAAGACTGGAGCAATTAAGCTGAATATTCAGCTTTGATCACAGGAATAAATTACATTTTAAAATATATTAAAACAAAAGACAGTTATTTGAAACTGTAATAATATTTCACAATATTTTTTTACTGTTTTTACTTATTGTAAATTACTGTTTAACAATCTTTAAAAAAGCAACTTGATAACATTAAATGCAAAGAGAGAAAATCTGGGCCAGATATACAAGTGTTAGTTTGTGACTTCCTCAAGAATGTCTGGAGAAAACAAAGACAACTTTTTATTTTAATATGCATTTTGGATGAATCATGCATTTAGCTCGTCTGTAGTTCCTTCACTGCTGTGAATATCCTCCAGTCCTGCTCTTCATGATCTGTCCTGTATATTAAGGGGATTTCATTTCTGACTGAAGGACTTGACTTTCCTCTTGTTACTGGGAAGTACTGTGACACAGAGAGCAGAACAACAAGCCGACAGAGCGCTTTGAGCCATCCCTCTCCAATAATCTCTACCTTTTCATCCCTTTTAAACTCTTTCTTTTTTCTCCTCTGCCCAACCTCTATAGAATATGATTTGAAAGGCAGCCCGAATATGGGCCCAAGGGATACGATAAAGGAGAAAAATGGAGAGGGAGGGAGTCAGAAACTTCATATCCTTCTGCTACAAGACCTTGAGAATTAAAGAAAAAACAAGTGAGAAAGAGAGGGAGCAAATTAAAAGTGATAGAAAGCAAGAACAGCAAGCTCATCAAATCACATTTTAATATTCGGCCCCATTCATGGCAACACAACAGTGAGAGGGAGCGTACAATCAGAAGGGAAGAAAAGGAGAGATTAGATAAGAGAGAACAGAGAGAGCTGGAGAGAGTTTAAAAGAGCTACAGAGATGGAGAATGAGAAGATTAGCTATTGCAATTTTGTCTCAAAGCCTTTGTGTTTGGATTAGCTCTCATGCACATGCCAATGCATTCTTCATACTAACTATTTGCAAAAAATACATATTTTCAAAATGGACTTACTGGTGGCTTGCCGGAACGTCTAATCGGTCTTATAAGGAAGATATTTGAGTTCACCTGACCCCAGTCTGAGCAGTTTTTAGGGTGTATTTATTTAAGTCACATTGTTGTGTTGAAAAACTGCTAGTGACACTTGACACTGCGTCAAATGCATCTGGAGGGACAGTGTTAGCATGCTAGTTAACCCTTTGATTTCATATGTATTGCATTTGACTTTCATATGACTTTCTAAGACTTCTACATCATTAACAGTACTTTTTTCTTTTTGTATATAATTTACTATATATCTTCTGCCCCCTGGTGGATTAGCTATGCTCTTGAGGAATTAGAAGAACTTTCAAATGTGAAATCTTTGCTTATTTTGATAAAGTAACAGCAAGAATAACTTAAATATTGGCAATAATGATTCATAATGAATATTTACTGGATTTAAGCAACAATATTTCATACATTATAAAAAAGGTGTCAATCCAACGATACCACTTGAGGTAGGCCTATATTTATTTCAGTCATTATTGTAGTGCATTTCATGATTATATGCCCCATCAAATGATTATATATTTTATGTATAATGCGTGTGTATGTATATATGTATTTTGTGATATATATTTGACAACATTATTTAAACATTTGTAATGTATATAAAAAAGATCATGTTTTGTAGCAAATTATAAATTATAATATTTTACTAAGATGTATTTAGACTGAAAACGTACATTTATTTGTATCTTTCTATGTGATTTTTATTTTATTTAACATTTTGTAACAAACATTTCAACAAAAATATTTACATTTATTTATTTATACATTTGTTATATATATTGTACATATTTACTGTATATATTTAACATTTAATTTAAATGTATACATTTATAAAAAATATATTACAGTACATAGTACTGTATTATATACTTTGTGTGTGTGTGTGTGTGTGTGTGTTGTATTTTTTATTAAGAAAAAATGTAAACTAGTCATCAACATCACTTGACTAGTGACCCATCCCTGCTTCAACATACGTGCATTCAGTGCATCAATCAGTTACAATGTGGTATTTTGGTCACTGATGGGTTAACACTCTCATTTAACAGATAACACACTCACACAGGGGAACCCAGTGTCGTCTCACACATGTTCACGCACACAAGAGCTAATCACTCAGTGGATTTTGAAATGCTCTTATGCTAATGCACACACACACACACACACACACACAAATTGAGCTGATTGCCTGATGAAATTAGCACTGTTCTGTCATTAAGCTCGCAGCTGCAGGGGCCAATCACAACTCTACAAGCATGTCAGCTGTTATTAACAGCCATAAGACGCTGGAAATGGAAAGGAAGGATGGGAGGGGGGTTCTAGACATTTCTAGAGTAAGGGGTCCATTTTATAACAGCTATTGAAACACTTTGAATGCTCTTGCTGTCAGATGTCACTGATCGTTTTCATCATGAGCTTGCTGATGTAGTATGAACAAGTGCAGTATTTTACATTTGCTGATTTATTTATTTTTTTTACAAAGAGAGAGTTAAATATAGCCATCATGCTCTATCCTGTTCTCTTCGCTATCCGTCACTCCATTCTTCCACATCCGTCCCCGCATGTTTCACATTGCTTGTCTTTGCGAAGAGTGAGCTGTCCAAAACAGAAAGATTTAAAAAAAGAGTATATATTAGTCTTTAAAGATCGGTTGTACAAGCTTGCTGCAAGACACACACACACTCCACAGGGAGATGGGCACTGAGTGTTACCCAAGGCAATTCTCTCCATTTCAATAACTTTCACACATTTTTCAGGTGTGAAGGCAAAAATCCCACACACACACACAGTCACACACAACCTTCCTTTTCCATTTCCTGTTCTATTTTCCTTAAACTCTTCCTCTATATCCCCTCAGGAACCCCATTTTAGGGGAACTGGTATAACCTAAATCTCAGTGAGGCACAGAAGGGTCAGTCTATCTGATTCCCCAGAGGGGGGAATTCAGCAGATCTGTGCAGATATCAAAAACGGGTCGCTCCTCAAAAACACGTTTGCTAAATAAACACTTTCACATGTTTAAATCCTGTGTTACTCAGCATAACTCATCAAAAGCACTCCTACAGTGATTGTAAAAGTCATTTCGGCACACTCTGATGGGTTCCAAATTTACAAACACCTATTACATGCCATGTAGGAGGGAGTCCTGCTAGGAGAGGTGTTGATTTTATGACAAAGCTTTTACACAGACTTAATTAGCATCTGGAATGACTATAGTGCATATGCTGAAGACATTGATAATTTGTTATTAATTGTCATTTTGTAGTGTTGTTCTTGACTGGTTTTGCTTCAGTATCCCGTATTTAACATTCAACATCAAGTTTTCATAAAAAGTATATACCTAAATATACATTCATTTATTATTATTATTATTATTATTATTATTATTATCATCACACACAACTTTTTAAAAAACTTTTAATATAATTTTAGTATTTGGCTTTTAAATAAATTTGAATTTCAATGGTTTATGCTATCGGCAGCCAATACTTCACAACACAAAACACATTGTTGTCACCACAAACCATGTTTCAGCCTGTATTTAATGTAGCCTGGGTTGTATTTTCTTTTGCCTTGTTCATGTTTTTGAAGAAGGAAAGCATTTCAGCCTGTCCATGTTGTCCTTTGCCTAACTGACTATTTGCATTTATACATTTGGTAGATGCTTTTATCCAAAGCACTTCACATTGCTTTCAGGCTTTACATTTTTTTCAGTTGATGCATTCCTGGACATTCCCTGCCAGATCCATATGATGAATTCTCACTGTTTTATGTTTTTAAGACAATTTGTAAAGAGGACAGTTTGTGTGAATGTGAAATGTGAGTGTGATTCATAGATTAAACAGAACAATATTTAAAGCTGAATGACATCCTGTGAGGCCAAAGGTGAACAGCCATCAATGGTTCTTCAAATGTGGGTCGAAATTGAGCCAAAATTCCATCTTTAGGTTTCTATTAAACAGTTTTACGTTTGTTTAGATGGTCATAAACATGGTATTGATAGTTTTGTGTGCTCAGAGAAATTCTGAGAGCACCTCATTTGATTTTTCACTGCCCAGGCTGCTATGGCCCTTATATTCTTTTTTAACAGAATAGATCAAATTCAAGGACACAGCACTTGAGTTTCAAAGGTAGACTTAAATAAATGGTCTGAAGTTCAACACATGAGCACTAGTCTGTAAAAGCACAGCCTTAATAATGTTGCATGACCGAAAGCAGTCAGTCTGAAAGTGTCTGTATTTGTGTTTGTGTTCCTGTGTGCTGCACATTTCTGCCAATTTGGACACTAGCCCACTGCTAAATTACAGCTAGCAGACATTCAGATGTTTGAGCGGAATATTTTTATGCTGAATACTGGTGCTCTACTGCTGGATTTCCGCCTTCACTTACTGATTGTCAAATCTTGGTCCATTAGAGGTCATGATAAAGTTTTGATGTATTGAAGTAACAAAGGTTTGAAATGACATGAGTGAGAGTAACTATCATTTGAATAAAAACTCAAACACTTAAACTCAAATATCCAGAAACAAATAGCTTTGTATAATTGATGTGAAGGAGAACAGCAATCTGACTCACTCACTTTCTCTCTCTCTCTTTAGCTGCTGTCTCTGACTCAGATCCTGTCGTGAGTGTGGATGATGCTCACTCTAGTTCGGTGGTCCTGACACCTATATCAGAGGTCTCGTCTGCAGACCTGTCTGTCTCCTCCCCTCACTTCCAGAACCCGGACGGTCTGCTGGAACCCACCGGTGCCGCCAGCGAGATAGCTGCTCAGCAGGACAACTCTACAGGGGACACACCGGCAGAGAAGGACCCCAAAAAAACCAAACAACATCTGCATTGCCCCATCTGCAAAGTCACAGTCAACTCCACCACTCAGATGGATGCTCACAATAGTGGTGCATATGTCTTTCTTTCTTTACTGATTTGTCTATTTATTTATTTACTCTACCATTCAAAGGTCTGAGTTCAGTAAGATTTTTTTTTTAATGAAATTAATCAAAAGTGTCAGTAAAGACAATACTGTTACAAACGATTTCTATTTCAAGTAATTGCTGTCCTTTTAAATTCATCAAAGAATCCTGAAAAAGATGTTACTGTTTCCAAAAATATTAAGTAGCACAACTGTTTTCAACATTGATAATAATAAGAAATGCTGAGCAGCAAATTAATACATATTAGAATGATTTCTGTAAGAAATTCAGCTTTACATCACAGAAAAAAAAATTACATTTTAAGATATATTAAAATAGAAAACAGCTGTTTGAAGTTGTAATAATATTTCAGAATATTACAGTTTTAATATTATTTTTGATCAAATAAATGCATAAGAGGCTTCTTTCAAAAACATTAAATTCTTACTGACCGTAAACTTTTGAATGGTAGTGTATTTTTATTTATTTTGGTTTGTAAACTCATGAATCAACCCCATAAATGAATGTGAATAATCTGAGAATAATCTAACCCTTTTCAATTTACAGCATTAATATTTCATCAACTCCATAATAAACAATAATTTCAATATAATCTGAGAAAATTCGTTTTAATAAATAATATTGTAACAATATACACAATTTTAGACCATTATTGCATACTTATTTAACACCTTTGTCCCCCCAATCCCCCCCCCCTTTATTCAATTCCATCACACAAAGGCATGAGGAACACCTTTGTTTTTAAAGGGGTCATATGATTTTGCTAAAAAGAACATTATTTTGTGTATTTGGTGTAATGAAATGTGTTTATGCGGTTTAAGGTTCAAAAAACACATTAGTTTCCACATACTGTACATTATTGTTTCTCCTCTATGCCCTGCCTTTCTGAAACGCGTCGATTTTTACAAATTTACATAAATGTAGTAGTTGTTTTACACATTTTCGTTTTCAAGATATTTCCATAAATTCACCCTTATAAATGTAGTTTATTTCTGCATAAATAAGTAACCTTCGTCATGTGAATTCCTTACCTTTTCGAACGTCACAGGCACCAAACATAAACTAATGATGGAAGGACAGAGTGTGTTGCCACGACGACGAGGGAAGACACTGTCATCCCGCCCCTCATGTAAAAGCAAGCGATTGGCCAGTAAGGGGAGTGTGGGCGTGGCCAGCAAGAGCTTCAACTGTGAAGTTTGCGAGATCCATGTTAACTCTGAGACTCAACTCAGCCAGGTAACCATAAAACAATTTTGCACACATGTATGTGATACACTGGAATATCGAAAAAATATGTTTTAAGTAACATTATTTGATGTTCAGAGCCCATCTTTGGGTCCTAATATGCCATTTTAGGCTAAAATTCAAATCCAGCCTTGTTCACGTTTCCTGTGTTCCCTCTACTACGTAACCTAGCCTAACTAGCTGTGTTTTTAGTAGCAGGTAGCTACATTGCAGGCTTGTTATTTTATCCTGTCAGGAATGACCTTCTAGAAATTGACAATCCATTGACAAAACAGCTGCTGGAAATCAGCTACACCATTGACAGACACATAGTTTATTTTGTTGGCATTGGCAGTTTGTCTAACTGTTTCTCAGAGGAAACACATCTACTTGGCCAAGTTTGTTACCTGGTATAGTTGTGTTGGGAAAAGCATGTTTTCCCACATAAACAAATGAAATGTAAAAATGTATAAACTCTTGCTCTGCGAGTTACTGAAACAGAGTAAACATTTACATTTGGATTTCTGGGTTGAGTTTTCGATGTACCAGGAACATGCTAATCAGTCTGAGATGAGTCATTTGACCATATCTAATGTGTGTTTCCAGTGCATATTGACTGGTTGAAGGTGAATTGTTGATACCCCGTCTGTGCTGGTTACTTGTTAATGTGACTCAACAAATTTGTCATGCTGACATTGGAGCTACGCTGAAAATCTCCTGGCATTCAATTTATTTACACATCAACTTTGTTCATGGATCATGACCACAGTGAATTTCTCATCATTCATGACCATTCTTATGTAAATTGTTGCATTTAATTGAATGCATCAATTTACATAAAATGCTTTTACAATTTTTTTTCTGTTTATGTTTCATGAATGAGTGTGTGTGTGTGTTGGCCTGGTGTCTGCACAGGCCTGAGGAACATGACATTTAATGGTATTTCATGCTTCCCTTAACGGGGTCATATGATGCTTTTTTAAAGATCATTATTTGGTGTATTTGGTGTAACAGAATATGTTGACATGCTTTAATCTGTTTCTGAAGTGTAAAGTAAACAAGATGAAGGCTGTTGAAAAAGAAAGAGGGGAGGGAAAGAGGTGAAAGGTATTAAAAAGTTAAAGATTTTTAGGAAAAAGGAAAAACTGCTCTTATTTTATCTTGACCAAGTATCTCATGTCAGGCTTGAAAATGCACCATTAAAAATACACCTTTATTTCTGTATTTGTTTAGCACATGAACAGCCGAAGACATAAGGATAGACTGGCTGGGAAGCCCCCGAAGCCCAAGTTCAACCCTCATGCCAAGAGTCAGCCTACCTCAGCAGCCTCGGTGAGCACGGTTACACTCACTGTGATTTACATGCTAATAGTCGAGTGTTCCTGTAGCTCAAACAGTAGGATAGCATGGCGCTAGCAACGTCAAAGTCATGAGTTCAATTCCCATAGAATTCATGAACTGCTGAAATGTCTCTTTGGATAGAAGAACCTGCCAAATATATGTGTGTAAATGTAATAGTCATATTCAGCTGATCAGTACAGAGTACTGAGTTTTAAAAAAAATCTAATATAGATTGTATCATGCTGATGTAGTACAAATGCATATTAAAACCCAGAGTTTCTTTTAAACAATGGGACTGATGATGATTGACAGGACAATATAATAAAGCAAACCTCTTCTCAGCATGAAAGGAAAAAGGGAGAGGAAGTTACTCAGGGGAGGATGCTAGCAAACAGGCTCATCATGATACAAGGAGTAATTTTGCGTAATTAAGACCATTTTTATGTCTGCTACACACACACGACTATAGCAGCTCTCCTGATCTGTTCCAGCAGGGTGTCAGATGGAACGGTTATGCGGGAGGCGCACTGTCTGCTATGAAGAAAGTTATCAACCAATGCAATCTGTCCTCTCTGTCCTCACAGGTGAGTGACAGAACTTAAACCTCATTAACAGTCTCTTAAAGGTGTAGTGTATAACTTGTGCACCATATCACAACATTAGATTAACCAATGGCATGACTATATATTTCAAAATTAAAGAAAAGGGGAATTTAAAACTCTAGATTCACAAAATGAATCGTGGTTAATTAGATTTAATATACAGTTTCTGTTAATAGAAATAGTTTTGTTATAGTTACAGAAGAAATATTAGAAATACAGAAAATATTTTTGCCTATATGGAGGGATCTTTGAATAATGTGTTGTATAACAGGTGGCCTTATAGTAAAAAAGGCTGAGAATCACTGAGCTACATTGTAAAAAAAAAAAAATAACTGAAGTTTGAAATAAAGATTATTCAATTATTATTATAATTTTTTTTTACAAGAACATATTTCAGGTTTTACTAGCAATTTCTGAGTGGAAATTGTTTCACCACCAAATTTTCAGTGTAGTGGCAAAGAAATTTTGCACTGCACCATTAAAAATATCTTTGTGATATCTTAATTTTTGGCATAATGATTAATTCTGTCTCTCTTTTTCTCTCTCTCTCTCTCTCTCTCTCTCAGACTAAACTGATTCTACAGAAGCAATTGACTAAAAATTTGGCTGCCAGCTTCCTTCCCACCCCCATAACTCCGCCCACCCTCTGCACAGTCACAGCCAATCCTCTCGCACTGCGACACCCGCCGGGCACTACTTTCATTCAGACGCCCATCCTCGGCCCTGCCCTCTTTAGGCCAGCGCCCGGACCTCTGAGAGCAACACACACTCCCATCATATTTTCCCCTTATTGATCACCTCGAAACAAAGCAAACACGCTCTTACAACATGGGCGCACATTCACGTGATTTAGTCTTACGATCCGTTCTCAGTACTGACGGTCTCTGTGCAAACTTCGTCCGTGCTCCCGCTCTCTCCGAGCTGTATACACTTAAGTATATAAACACAAACACACACTCCCATAGTGTTCCCTGTCCTCCTCAAAAACTGTGACTCTGAGAGAGTCACTCTTGAACTATGCAGCAAAGGGAGAGAGAGAGTGTGTGAGAGAGATAGAGAGAGAGAGCAAGACCATATATGGGAATATGGGAGGGGCCTCATTGATAACACCAGCCCACTATGCAGATGAACGCTGCTAATGACAGGACAAGACTGATAAAGGAGTGAAAGAGCTATAAGAAGGATATTTAGTTTTGCTTTATGAGATATTTATCATTATACAGATATTAATCAGGTTATTATTCTATAATTTATTAGAGGAAAGCCAATTTTAGAGACCTATAACTGCGTTAGCTGTTTGTTTAGTTAGGAAATGCAAACATCCCTTTACTTGATGCTTTTTTTAAAGTATTTTAAATTGTTATCAGTCTGTTTTCTTGTCGTTCCACATGGATATATTGCCGTTGGTCTGTGTATTCGCACACATTTTGAGTAACCTCATCTGACCGGCTTTTGTTATAAACACAAAGCTCATTGGTCTGTCAGTTTACAGATGCTAAGGCTTTCTGTCATGGGTAATCACAGAATAACACAGAGTACCAGTCTAATATACGAACGTGACAGTTTGGTAGCAAGGCAACACACACACACACTCGCTCGCGCCCAATCAGTGTCATAATTTTGTCAGTGTTGATGCATAGATTAGATGATTTGAGATTGCAGATGCACACACACACACACAAAACCTCAGATGAGATGATTGCGGTTCAGTCACAGTTTGACGTGGCCTTTTATCTCCGCATATTTTGCTCTCAGTATTTCCTCATTACGGCCTCACAAAGGTCAGTGTGCCTGTCAAAAATCTGTCCGCATCCTATCTTGATTAAGATCTAAAACCTCACCATGTTATTTGCGTGTGTGTGTGTGTGTGTGTGTGTTTAATCCAAAACCTGTCATGAATTCATTACTCTTGATCTTATTCAGAATAACATTTTCGATTCTGGAAGCATCATTGATTTATTTGCACAGAGGAGCCATTGCCAAAACATAATGACCATAATGGCGGTGACTGAAAATACATCAGTACTGTTGAAAGGAGGATGCAGGTGTATTTTTTAAGATTACACTTGAATAGCAACGTGTTAAATTTCAGATATATTAAACTCTCCTGCTACAAGTATATACAAGTGTTCCTGTCAGTCTGAACAAAGTCACGTCGCTTTGCCCCAGATGGTTTTAGATGGACTAAGACTGATCTTCTGTCTTCAGACATGTAGAATTAGACATTACTGTTGAGTCTATGTTGTTTGATTGGAACCATTTTTCATCAGATTTTTTTTTAAACGTGCCCTAGCATACAGAGCTTTTTGTAAATATTTTATGAATACAGCTTTTAAAAGTGAATCATTAACATTTATAATATATACAATTAGAGTAAATATGTAGAATTTTATGAGATGTTTAATGTAGATTCTTTATCTGGTTATTGTAATTAATGTGATAATAAGAACGAGCTCTACTTGAAGTTATTACTTTTTGTCACCATTTCTGCAGAGACATGCATACTGAAATAAGGAGATAATCTAATGCGAAGTAGATAAGATTATGTAGTTCTTACATCAAATTGTAAATCAAAGCGCTTGTGAGAGAACGAAGGCGACGGAATATAAGAAATATTGCTAAAAACGGGCTGAGACTTGGACACCTAGACAAGGCCGCAGAGCCAGGAGTCATGGGTGAGTCTCAAGCCCACTCAGGGCTCTTGATTTTCAGAGGACGGTTTGCCCTCGAGGGAATGAAGCCTGGGGCCTTGAACAGAGCTAACTAACAACAGCCATATTGACACTTCAAGAGGCACAACTCTGCATTTTTTTCTGAGGACACTTTAGAACAAGGACTTTGCTTGGACATGAATCAAATCTCTTATTTGTGTGTGCGTGTGTGTTTTGATAACTCCCAAACATCAAACTCTTCCCCATAAGTTCCAAGAAAGGACAAATGGTGAATGAGAAATAACACTGGTCCATCAGTGGGATACCTTCATGCTTTCTTGAGGCACAAGAAGATGTAACCGCACCATTCCTAGTTGTGTTGTCCTCATGAGGTCCATACAGCAGATATGGCTAGTTATGATACATATGACTGTGACGGTCTCTGGTAGGTGGCTGATTTCACATGTTCAAAAGTAACAGTTTCAAAATATCTTTAAGGTTGTTTGTTGGGATTTTATGTTGCTTTTTTTTTAGTTAAATTCAATATTTAAGCAATAATGACGGAAACTGGAAACTTTTTAAGATAACGGAAGATTGCTCTGTTTCTCTCTCTCTACCTTTTGTGTACATGTTTCTTCCTTCGTTCTCTTAATGTTGTGAGTGCTCTTAATAGTGTGCACAGTGTTCCTATCGCCAATATGGAGGAAATTAGCTTAATATGGCATTTCTCTCCCTTTATTTTACACCGATGGAATCTGTTTGTCACAGGACAGTCATGAAAATGTCCATTGCCAGCAGTGATCAGACAGTGGATGGCATTTCTAATTTCTTCCATGTTGGTTCTGGGCTAATATGACCGATACACACTCCCTTTTACTTCCTGCTCTAGTTTGCCTGCCTTGTGCCAAAATGTAAATTCCTAAATGCCAAATTTAAGATTTTTTTTTCAATAATCCAATAGACTGCACATACAACCTATGAGAGTTAAACTATCATATGAAAAAAATCCGTTTTTCCCGTGAATGTTTAAAAATCATGAAGCCTCATGTGAAAATGTGCATGTGTGCTTGTAAACTGACAAATATGTGAAATCTGTCCAGTGTTTCTGGAAGATGAAGATTTCAATAACGCTTAAAGGGACATGGCCAGTATTAAGTCATTTAAATAACGACAGACATATATGTTATTTGTTCTTTGTGCTCAATACATTTCTGTCTGTGACTGATCTGAACTGTCTGCTCACACAACGGAAAACGTATTTTCATAGGATTTTGCGTCTTGGTTTTCTGACTCATTTGCTCTTTCTCTGTACAGGGTATGGATGAATGCGTGAAAACGAAATAAAGCAGAGAGAGAGAGAGAGAAATAAATCGATTAGACTTCCACCCCAGTGCTCCGGCTGTTCTTTTGGGGGCTTATGGGACTCGTGGTTATTGACCAGAGGATGACAGCTTGTCATGGCGTCTTGCTTTATAATGACAAACGTGTCGAAACTTCCCAGTTCGATGTGAACCCAGCACAACCAGCCAAAAAAGTCTTATCAACTGTCTGGTATCCACGATGATACACACAAGCACTCTTTTTCATTCCAATCGTTCACCTCGACAAGTGTGCGCCACCTTGTGTTTACGACGAGAACGGCAAGAATATGAAAGGAGACTGACAGATTTTCACAGGTTTTACAAACTGGTATGTCGTTTTAACCTTTACATTCATTAAACATTTTAATTTAGAACATTTTGGTAGTGATAGTATATGTCCATTGTTATTAGTTACAAATTGGCATGGACTCTGAGATTCAGGTTTTTACAGACGTGTAAAAACATGTAAACACACACACACTCATATATATATATATATATATATATATAAAAGCAATAATAAAAATGAAAATGTTCGCCCTCTAGTTATTAAATTAATTTGTCAGCACCAAACCCACCAAAGTGTTTTACCACTTAATTAGATATTATCGAGGTACAAAATGCCTTCTGCTCAGCGATCGTGTTCAGGTGCCCCAGTGAACGTTTTTAGAACTTCGGCAAAGTTATCTGGTCTTTAATAACGTTCTCAAATAGTTAGAACAAAAACGTTATTTTTAATCATTTTTTTCTGAAACATTTGTTATAAATTTGTTTGACGTTATTTTAAATGTTCCTATTTGATTTAGAATGTTCAGGAAACATTTAAAAGCTTGCAAAATAATCAAATCGAATGTCCCCTTAACGTTTGCATAACCAAGAAAAAAAAAGTAGGTCTAATGTTTCATAACTTAATAGAAATGTTAGCAAACGTTCTCTATTTTGTTAACTGGGACTGTGCATTTTTTGCATCATGCTGTGATTTACAAAATACACCAATTCATTCAAAAGTATATTAGTATGCCATTAATGAAAATCAATAAATATTTGTATATTGTACCAACCCCCTCCCCCTTCACATCTTGCAAGTAGGCTTCTTTTTGCTGGGCTTATGGGGTGTCAGCCCATTCTCCAGCTCACTGCATGAAAGCATGCAACTTATGAAGTTCCCAGACCCTAATAGAGTGACATTTTTGAAACTATATGTTGGGTGATGTTTGCAATGTGTGTCGTGTATTGTGTAACAGTGGGTAAAAAGTAAATTTGCATAATGTGAAGCATTTGATCTGTGATCTGTAAACACTATTGATGCACACTGATGCAAGCCTCATGAAATGAAGGGTAGCTTAAAGCAAGCATTAACCAGACAGACATTCATTACACACAGACACACACTCTCTCCCTGGCAGAAGTGGAGAGCCCTCTATTACAAGGTCACTGCAGATCTAGCCATGAACGAAATGAAATATCCACTCCGTAAAAAGATAGATAAAGGGCAAATAAAACCAATTCTCCCATTTACTCCCCCTGAAGAGAGATTGAGAGAGACTGCAGATATGTCAGACTCGGGCTCATTCAGTCGGAAGATGGCTGCTGTGCTGTTAAGCAGACAAGCTTTGAACTGTGTACAGATCATGTGCTTAAAATTAATATCGTCTTTATTGAACATTACCATTATTTTTGACCATTGTGTAAAGCTCTAATTTAGCTTTAGATTAGAAAAGATTATTGAGTGTTAAACAATAGCAGTCAAGCAGCTTTATTAAGATGCTCATACAGTCTTTGTTTTCAGACAAAAATGCTTTATGATGCTTTTAAGCATGTCAAAATGTATTTAAAAGCAATCTCAGCTAAAAAGAAGTAAAATCTTCACAAGTCATACATTTTCCATGTAAAAAGAACAGATATATATTGTATATGCTCACAACTGAAAGCAAACATTACACAATATGAATGACTACTCACAAAATGCAGTGTCGTCAGGGTAAACAGCACAGTAGTGAACTCTCACTCACAATCAAACAAACACGTGTAAAATTTCACTTACTAAGGTGTTTTTATGGAATAAATCAGTAAATTTATAGGAATGTGTCTGGCGCAAAATATGAACACCTGAAAATAAGTAAAACATCCATGCAGTCCACTTAAGACATTCTTCTGTCAAGTTCATGTCATAGAAAAGAGCAGTCATCATGGCACAAACGTCATTAAATACGCCTGAATTGAACAAGTCGAATCATCCTAGCTGATTTCCCATAAGATGTAACAACTTTTTGCAATGTAGAGGTATATATATATAGTATATATATATATCAGTGTAAAAGCAGTATTTTGTTTTGTCAGTCAATTGCTTCAAGATAAGCATGAGATAAATATATCACATATATCACAGCAACACATGGATTCTATCCTGTATGTTTATGAATATAAAACTTCATTAATGCAGTAACTTCATACAGTGTGCTAAACTTATAATGGCACTCCAAGTTCAAATGTTTTGAACGATATAAAAATGTCACTATTTAGAGATTTGCCTTACATCTCCCATCTAACACATCTTATCTTTATGTTACTCTGTCAGCTCTGTTGCCATCTTCTCGATCTCTAGCTGTCCAGGGAGCCGCTGCCCTTGTTCTTGTTGCGGCTGAGTGGGAAGGTGGATTTGCTCTGAGGTTGGGTCATTTTGCTGGCCAGATGGACAAAGGGCTCGATGAGCGTTCGTCTGTCGGTCACAGTGACCTCCCACAGCCTGACCTTCTCCTGCCGTGCCCACTGTTGAGCCGCCTCGCTGTCCACCCTCCTCTGATCCTGCAGGTCCAACTTATTACCCACAACAACAATAGTCACCTGTGAGACAGAAAGAGAAATATTCTTTACATTTTTTTCATGATGTCCTCTTATAATGTTAGTAGTTTTTTTTGTTGTTGTCATGTTTTATATCAAAATATCAATTAAAATTTGATTCCTCGTGATCTGACACTATAGTTCAAAAATTTGGGGTGGCAAGATTTTTTTATTGTTTTGCAAGAACTCTTATGCTCACCAAGGCTATGATTATTTGATAAAAAAAAATATATATATATATACAGTAAAACTGTAATATTATGAAATATTAGCAAAAATAACTGTTTTTTTATTTGAATATATTCTAAAACGTAATTTATTCTTGTGATGGCCAAGCTGAATATTCAGCATCATTACTCCAGTCTTCAGTGTCACATGATCCTTCAGAAATCATACTAATATGCTGATTTGCTGCTCAAGAAACATTTGTTCTGCTTTATATTTTTGTACCCAGCTAACAAAAAAATTGACTTTTATCCACGAATGATGTATAAATAATGTTTTGTGCAATCATTCTATTAATGTTACTGGAAGAACATTTGCTCGTAACTTTGAGAGAATCTTGCCAGAACGTTGCCCGTTAGCTGGGTAGAAAGTGTCATACATTTTTCAGGATTCTTTAATGAATATACTGTAAATTTCAAAAGAACAACATTTATTTGAAATAGAAAGCTATTTCAACAATATAAGTGTCTTTACTGTCACTTTTGATCAATTCGTCCTTGATGAATAAAAGTATTAATTAAAAAATCAAATCAAATCATATGGACCCCAAACTTTTGAACGGGTGCATAACAAGCACACAGACCTCTTTTTTATCACGGCAGCGGTCGATCTCTTTCTTCAGAGCCTCTACGCGTTTGAAGGACTCTTTGCTGTCGATGCTGTAGATGAGCACGAATCCGTCGGCGAAAGTGAAGTAGTGCCGCGGAAACTCCTGACCATCACGCAGCCCGCGCGTGTCGTAAAACCGCACCTGTTCTCGGGTGCCGCGGTCCGTTTCCACAGACCCGATGTAAATGTCCTCCAGTGTCTCCATGGTCTCTGAACCTGCCAAACGGGTACTATGTGAATCTACTCTTCAGTTATTTATTTGGGTTTGAGAAATGCCTGCTGTCGGGTAGGTGCTGTCACAACACTCACCTACAACATGGTTGGCGTAGAGCAGCTGCTCCAGAACAGCAGTTTTCCCCACTGATACCTGACCACACACCACCACCTTGCAGCTCTTGCCCATGATCTCTTACAAGCGCTCAGTCCTCATTAAAGTATAGAAATAAACTAGAGAAGTAGTAGAAATCTGTCACAACAAGAGAATAGTGAGAATAACTGATGTGTTGTAATAATGTTTTATGCAACGCTCACAAGAGCGCCGCACACACTTGTTTGGATAAACCTGCTGCGCCTTTACATAATCAGATTACTGCATAATTGAATACTAAATTGTATTCATCTTTGATAAATATTAAAATGCATAAAGAAGATGACCAAAGTTAACGTTTAAGGAAAGACTTAACTCACCGTACTCTCTTCCTGTTTATGTCAGATTTCAGCCTTCGACTAAATTTGACACCAGTTCCGTTGAGCTGCAGGGCGCCCTCTTCTGTTCGGAGGACAGCAACATGCCGAACATGCTCAGTGCGGTCTAACCACGTTTCATATTTCTAATAACCAATAAAAATGAACTAATAAGCCAAATTAACTAAGGTGAATATGTCAAAATGATGCGCTACTCATTCAGTCCAGTACATGATATTTCTCTTCGGTGTCAAGATTGGTGATGCATTGACCAAAATGTTCATGAGAATATTTAAACCCCTAAACTGTCACTTTTTAAAAAAAATAGGCACTATCCAAACTTAAATTGTTGTAATTTATGAACACTTTGGAATACAGACATAAGGTTGGTCTCTTTTTAAAGAAGAAAATCAGCAGATTATTGCAAAAGTATCAAAAAGTTATAGAAGTTTAAATTTACTGTAAAGAAAATAATCAAGTTTGGATGGCACCTGGTGGCTGTTTGTGGTATAGCGCCCTAAATAAACTCTCACAGGAACCTCCATTTTTTTCATATCAACTTCAAATTTGGCACATAACTTATTTAGACATAAGGCTTTAATTTTATACCAATTTTAGAGTAAAACCTGTTATGTAAAATATTTATTATATATAAAACAAAATAAGTACAATGCTAAAAGACCGTAATGCATTTTGTAATATGACACTTGACACTGCCCACTAAGGGGGAGGAGACCGCCAAAAGATTTTAAAGTACCGTTTCCATGGTAACGCAATGTCCGATTTCAAAATGGTTTTCACAGGGTGAATCTTGGGCTTCTTAGCTTTCAAATGATATATAATTTATGATTACTAAAAGATTTGATAGAGAAAAAAAACAACAAAAAAGAGCGCCAAGCGTCCCACAGGTGGGGCAGTGACAGTTAAGGGGTTAAGGGCATTTGATACAAAACTTCAAAGAAAACACACAAGGAAAAACACATAGGCCTATATAAGCAAAATAAACAAATTAATGAATATAGTAAAAAAAGATAAATACATAGGCCAAAAATAGGCTGATACTATTTAAAACAATTAGCCTAACTACACTAAAACTAATTTTTAAAACGTAGGCTAAATAGGAAGAAAAATAAAACATTGTAAATATCACTAAAAATGTCTTCTATTGTTTCAGATATCTGATTTGTTATCAATAACACATTATGACGTAGCGTAGCCTATATACAAAGTCATACTTGCAGAGGTTGTGAAGAACCATTGGTTTCACCTTCTCAAGGAATAGGCCTACGCTTCCTTGACTGAATGAAATTTGAATAAAGGATAATAAAACATTTTGATTGTGAATGACTCTCTGTTTTTACTGAATCGACTGAATGAATGAATGAATGATCTATTTATTCGGCTGACCACCTGTGATCATAAACAGGATTAATATCTCATTATTACATCAACTGAAATTAAAATAACACTTATTATAACTTTATAATAACTTTAAATGTAAACAATTTAGCTTTTAAAGCAAAAGTTCAACAATGCAATACCTATCAATATCATCTTTGAAGAATAAGAAAGCTGTAAAATGTGTTAAGATGGCCAGTCCATCACAGGTTAATAGGCCAATTTGTAAACATTTATATTATTTTATTTTACTTTTCTTATGTTTATTTCTATCTTTTGAATGACATTTTTGCCGTTTATCCTAAAGTACTCCCTGCCTGTATTTTTAAATCTTTAAAACCAATTTAATAAATAAATAGTATACTTTATTATGCCACATTCAGAAAATATGGTCATTTGTCGCCACCTACTGGTGTAAACGCAACGTCACCTGCGATCACCGAGCGGATCTTTTAAGTGAACTGATTCAAAAGACTCGAGTCACGTGAATCAAAATCCCTTCTATACTATTTAAATACATTCTTTAAATGGTTTCACATAATTATAATAGTTACTACTGATGTCCAGAGAGATATGTGTGCAGTCTCTATTGTTTGAAAACAATGTAAAGAGCGTAAGGCCAGTTTTTTGAAAAACTAGGAGCCGTTAATTTGAACTAACTAGACAAAATGCTTTGTGTTAAATTTTAGTGCACTTTTATTTCTGAAAATTGTTTCTACACACACTATGTTATAGTAGGTTCTCGTATCCGTTGACCTACTATGGGCATATTGCGCACGGCTGCGGAAGGCGGAGCTGAAGGCGGTATGAAAGGCTCACATGCCTCATCTCATCCTCCGCCTCTGGACAGCAAAATGGCGACTGTTGACTACGACTCGTCTGCGGATCCAGAGATGGACTTAACCAGCGACGAGGAGTTAGAGAGGTACCCGAAAAAGCGATCACTTTAATCTGATGCCGGGCGATCTGTTCGTGAGGTTGCTGGGTTTTAGAGAAGCCTTGATCGGGCTCACGGTTGTATAAAGACCCTGAGATCGTGATTGCCGCATAACTTGAAAATCAAGGGGTGTCTTTGGCCTAGCATGCCAGGCAGCTGCGTTTAGTGTTGGGGTGCCATGCTATTAACCTGGTGTTATTCTTAACACATTTTAAGTGAGCTTTGCCCTTTTTAAGCGATGATCAAGGGTGCCGCGCATCTTGTTATCACAACAGATGTGCTGTTCGGCGTGACACAGTTTTAGGGTGAGAATTAGGTTGAAGGCAGCGTGACATCATTGCTCTCAACAACACAATGCAGACGCACTTAAACCCGCACACATCCAGTTAATCATCGCATTGTTGTATTAAATATTTGAAACATTAATAGTCGTTGATGGATATCCTTAGTAGGTAACTACAATGCATAAAAGAAAGAAAAAAAACGCACATGGGTAACGTTATAGAGGAAATGACGTTCTGTCCCTGCGGGTCTCCTATATTTGCAGGCCACTACTTTTGACACTTGCTTGGACATTTTGTCCAAGTTAGGAACACGAACAGATTTCGCAGCTTTTTAAAATGTATATCTCAGTCACTAACATCTGAGGCTGCCTGACATCTACTTCGATGACCGAATTTTAATTTTCGATGTAACGTTACTGTCCCTTTTAATGCATATGACGTTTCGATTATGTTTATTTAGTGTTTAGGTGTCATTAATGTCAATCGATGAATTTGAACCCCGAAGTATTATATATGCATGTATGTATGTATGTATGAATACTAGCGACCTATAAGAAGTCGTTCACTTCTGGAACTTTCTGTTTGTTTGACGGTTCTGTGGGCGGACGGAGGCATGACGTGAACTTGGAACGTTGACTTGGAACGATCGGTTACCGAACTGTAACTGGACGCGCGAGAAGTGCAGTTAACCTCGGGTCTGACATAACTTTCCTCATGTTAAGTGTAGTTAGTACTAGCGACCTATAAGAAGTCGTTCACTTCTGGAACTTTCTGTTTGTCTGACGTTTCTGTGGGCGGACGGAGGCATGACGTGAACTTGGAACGTTGACTTGGAACGATCGGTTACCGAACTGTAACTGGACGCGCGAGAAGTGCAGTTAACCTCGGGTCTGACATAACTTTCCTCATGTTAAGTGTAGTTAGAGTATTATCTGTCAGAGTCGCACACTACTGTAATGTTACAGTATAAACCTTATGTTCCTGGTGAACTTTAAGTACTTGACTTGAGATTTCTACTATAACTTGTCTGCTGTTGTTTTAATAGTTTTAGTTACGGTTTCCCATGTACTCTAATGTAAGTTGAAGGAATTAATTTTTAACAATAACTTGCAAACCTCTAAAGACCTACTGTGAGCTATGAGGTTGTTAATAGATGGTGTATGCTTTTGTTGAAGCCACCAGCCTGCATTATTTCAATTTATTTTTTTAAAGAGCAGGTCATATGGTATTTTGGAGTCCCCTACAACAGGTTTAAATGCATCTAAGGTCAGAAAACATTGTAATTTTCGCAGAATATACATTTAATATTAGTCATTTGCCAGTGATTTCTAAACGGTTCTTTCCAAGCAAGTTCGGAGCAAACCCCTCCCTTCCATAAGCCTACTTTGCTCTGATTGGTCAGCTGGCCAAGCCAAACTGGACAAATGTGGCCAGTCACACTAATGGCGCTTTTCCACTGCATGGTACGACTCGGCTCGGCACGGCTCAGTACGGTACAGGACGGCTCAAAAGGTGTGCTCGTTCAAAACAGTTGCGTTCGCTGGCTGTGCTGATTTAAATCTAGCGGTTCTGTTGTGTTTGTGTCGCAAGTTCAGTTACGCAGGTAGTGACGATTCTCTCCGACCAATCCGTGATCAGCAGTTTACACGTCACGTTTTGGTAACGGCACGGTTCGCTTGGAACCCCAACTGAGGTGGTACTAAAAAAAGTACCCATAGCAGTGTCCAGTGTTTCCCATTCATTGAGTAAATAGATTTTCCAAAAGGCTTATACTTTGTTGAATAAACTGAGCACTGCGCGTTTCAAAATTAAAATGTAAGCGGGTGTTTTTATATGAAAAGCTTCGATGTCATTTTCATTTCGTCTTTCCTGTAATGCCTGATAAAGTAGCGTTTGTGAGCGCGGCGCTGATTTTGATTACAGCCGTTACCGGGGAAACCGCTATATCTCCCGCTCCAACAGCACCTCCTGCTGGCGGAGAATGAATTTGCATTTGCAAGTCTGTGGGAAACACTGGTGTCTGTCAGCAAACATAAACAAAAAGCATGCTTCAGAACTGTTTTGAGAAGGTGCTTAAGTTTTGAGCCATGTATTATTACTCTGAATTAGGCTACTACTACTATTACTATCTTGCACCCTGCAATAATCATTTACTCAAACTGAAAAAGAAAAAAGAAAGAAAATCGGCATCATATGTCGGCCAACGGCTGCCCTGATTTCTAAATATCGGCATCGGCCAGTGAAAAACCCATATCGGGGGACCTAATATTTTGTATTCTCCATTTTTAATTCATGTTATTTGCAATGCTTCATGGGATTGTAGTTCATTCTCTCATTAAAAAGGTTAAGAACACAGTCTTGTACCTTGTATCTTTTTTTTTTTTTTTTTGTCTGATTGTCAAATGTTTTGCTTCAAATGAAAGTTTGTATTGTTGTGATTCACCTCATAGATGGTTGGTTTGGTTAATGGCTTAAACTCTTAAACAAAGGTAAGAAAAATGAATGGGGAAAACGCTTCCGGAACAAAGGCTGTTGAAAAAGTGGGCAGGCACTAATGCACTCTATAGGAAACACCTACAACGTGTCAAGACTAAATTGTGCATGTGATCTAAAGTGTTGTCAGCTCATGTACCTGCTCTGCTAATGATTCATGTCATTACGTCATTTCTCTCAGAAAGCACCAGTCTGGTTTTGGTTTCCAGATTAACTGGAGTGTGTGAATGTGTCGTCATGCTGTAGGTCTGAATAAAGCACTATTTGCATGACCACACAGGTGGCACAAGACAAACACGTATCACTACAGCTGCTCTGACAGAGGAGAGTGAGGTTGAACATTGGCGTGCGATTTAAGTGGGCTCCGCTGTCGACTGGTGTGTAAAACCCTCTCGAGAATATTCCAGAGATAAAGGCATCATTGACTAATATTTCAGCCGTGTGATATGAAAGAAGGTTTTAATGAAGTAGATGGCGTGGCGACTTGCTTTGTTATTGTGACAGGGGTGCATGTTAAATATATTGTTTGTGTCATCTGTCTCAACATGCCTGTAGCCAGCTATGAGGTCACTGAGGTCCTGGACCTCGGTATTTTTCCGAGATGTACTTTGTGAAATAATTGCCTAATATAATATTAACTTTACCTTTACCTTTAAAAACACTTAAAGCATTACCTTTCATGCAGTGTGTAACACGGCTCTAAGTGAATGAAAACATCCTGCAAAGTTTTAAATCTGAAAGTGCACCGTATAAAATTGTCTCTCAAAAGAAAGAGTCGACTCTGAATCATTGAAACGAGTTGTTTTTAAAACGAATCCCAAGCCGTTTCATGTTGACATTAGCATATTGCCTGCTCACTTGTTGGTCTTTTTGTGTTGGTTTGAATGAAAATGCTCATTTATTCTTCGCCACTAGGTGTGCTTTTGGAGCGATAAAAATAGCGGTTTTCCCGGTAACGCTGTACACAAAGCAGCACTGCGCTCACAAACACTGCTTTATCAGGCATTACAGGCATGATGAAATAAAAATGAGACCAATCGACCAATCACCGCAGGTTAGCGTCACGCAAAGGAGGGGTTTGGAAAAATGAATCGTTGAGCGAATCGTTTGGGAGTCGTTGAGCACGTAAGGTAAAAATAAATACATATAAGACAATGAAAGTGTTTTTTGACCTTGCATGCATGTCAACCTGTTGTTAGGGACTCCCAAAACCAAAATATGAACCTTCCATAACCCATAATAGGGGCACTTGAAGCCTCCTCATCTGAGCTGTGTCAGCTGTCTGTCACGGTGACAGTCACTGCTCGTCAATGTCAAAATATATTTGAGATGACCAATCAAATCAAAGTAGGCTGGCTTTGTGTTCACAGAAGCTGCATAGTGCGAATTTCAATGCGACGCTTCAGTTAGCGGCTATAAAGTGCGGGATGTAAGTGGCCAAACATTTCATATCTGGCAGCTGTTTTACGATCGAAATAGGGATGTTAATTTTAACCGGTTAACCGGCCGTAAGAATTTTGACTGATTAATACAATCAGTTAAACGGTTTAAAAAGTCATTTAATTTATTTATTTTTTCAGTAATTTATCAAAATATTTAAAAAGGTTTGCTGCATGGTTAAAATGTGCTATGTGTATAAAAGAATGTGTTTTTTAGGCGGACAAACATAAGTCGCGTATAAGTCGCATTTTATTGTTTCATTCAGAAAATACCGAATACCGGTGTTTATTTGAGTTATGATATGAATTTTTAAAATACCGCAATACTGTATGTCGCTTAAACATCGTTCGGAACACGACACTGTTTGAAAGGGGTCCGTTTTCACTGTTGGTGAATTGCTGCTTTGTTAACTGACAGTTCATTGTACTGTGATCTAAGTAGGAGTAATTGTGCATTTGCAACTATAGATTTAGGTTTATTATTGTAGAGATCTGTTTCAAGTTTTTTTTAGTTTTTTTTATTGTCTTCATTTCCATTAGTGTTCTCTTTTTCTTTGAGCTGGTAAAACTAATTATTTGGCCCCTAATAAAGGCCTTAAATGCCTCCCATCTTATGCTAGCTGATCTTCAGCCGGAGTTTGGAAGGTGTAGGATCTTTCCCCGTGTGTCAGCAGGAGCCGTGCTGGAAAGATTATTAAGTGCTTATGAATCCCCTTGTCTCGCAGCCTTCTACGCACGTCATCATAGTCGCGTTGCATCTTGTGTATACCAGCGGAGAGGTCTGGATGAAAACGGACCTGTTCGTTATTATACAGAACATTCCCTTTGGTTCTGGCTGCCCTTAGTACCCGCTCCTTATCTTTAAAGTTCAAAAACTTCATAATCAATGTCCTCGGGCGTGTCTTGCGCGAGTCGATATATGTCGGAGTGCCGATTCTATGAGCGGGCTCAATTACCAAGTTCCCTCGTGGTTCTATTCCTAAAGCCTCCGGTATCCACTTCTCCAGAAATGCAACCGTGTCCTGGCCTTCTGCTTTCTCCGGTAGACCCACCAGTCTGACGTTGTTCCGTCGGCTTCTGCATTCCAAATCTTTGCCTTTGTTTGAAAGGGTTTTGACGGTATTTTCCAACGTGCTCACTCTGGATATTAGCCCATTAATGTTGTCTTCAGCATCAGAAATACGTTGTTCAGCTT